ATACACAAGCAATTAGAATATAAGTTCCTGATGCATGTTTATTATTTTTTGTTATCATAGTGATTACTATTAACGCGAGAGCTAACATACTGCTTTTCTCTTTTCTATTATACCAATGTTCCTAAATCATAGCATTAGGTTTTACAATGGAGCAAAATTATCTGCTTTGATATTTGAGGCTCTTTTTAAAAATAGAATATTTGCAAGCTCTATCCACTGATATATTAGTATTATGTTATGGTTTTCTGTCCTGCAGAGTTGGTTTTTTAAAAAGATTTATTTATTTATTTAAAAGTCGGAAATACAGCAAGAGAGAGAAACAGGGCGGAGGGGAGGAGATCTTCCATCTGCTGGTTCTCTCCCCAAATAGCCACAATGGCCAGGGCTTGGCCAGGCTCAAGCCAAGAGCCAGGAACTTCCTGTAGGTCTCTAATGTGGGTGTAGGGGCCCAAGCACTTGGGCAATCCTCCACTGCTTTCCCAGGCACATTAGCAGGGAGCTAGACCAGAAGTGGAACAGCCAGGTCATGAACTGGTGCCCATATAGAATACTGGAGCTGCAGATGGTGGTTTAACCCTATGGGTCACAGCACTGGCCACTTTAAAAAACTGTAGAGTTTTTAAAAATGATCACTCTTAGTGACTGAATGTTGTCTCATTTGTAACAGGATTTTAAGATGCAACTGGGGGGCCGGTGCTGTGGCTCACTTGGTTAATCCTCCGGCTGCAGCACCAGCATCCCATATGGGTGCCGGGTTCTAGTTCTGGTTGCTCCTCTTCCAGTCCAGCTCTCTGCTGTGGCTGGGGAAGACAGTGGAGGATGGCCCAAGTGCTTGGGCCCCTACACCTGCATAGAAGACCAGGAAGAAGCACCTGGCTCCTGGCTTCAGATCGGCACAGCGCCAGCTGTGGTGGCCATTTGGGGGGTGAACCAGCGGAAGGAAGACCTTTCTCTCTGTCTCTCTCTCACTGTCTAACTCTATCTGTCAAATAAAAAAAATGCAACTGGACTCTGAGTCTGTCATTTAGATAGTCAACCAAGCTACTAGAGCACCTAGTGGACCAGGAGGTAGCAGGACACAATTTTTGGGTTTTTTGTTTGTTTCCCATCTTTAACTTCCTCACAAGAGTTGAGCTTAGGGAGACTGGAGAGTCTGAGCACAAGCCTTGGAAACTACAAAATGACATCCTGTTGCATGGGGATTCCTAGTTTCTCCTAAGAGGCAGGAACTGGGAGGTGCTGCTCAGGTTTCATAGATCAGGGCAGAGCAGTAGGGAAACCAATTAGAGAGCTTGGTATGCACTTCCTGCATTTGGAGAACACACTAGGCTGGTGTGTAACTCACTCCTGCAATGCCTAGCGTGAGCTACAGGGTGGCCTGCTGCTTACGTGTTGGCAGGAGAGGTGGCTCTTTGTGTCAGCTGTACTTTTGGATTTTATGGATGGAGAATGTCTGGGCATTTCTAGGGAACAAATCAATCTTGATGTGAATGGAAGGGGAGAGGGAGTGGGAGAGGGGAGCATTGTGGGTGGGAGGGAAGTTATGGGGGGTGGGGAGCTATTGTAATCCATAAGCTGTACTTTGGAAATTTATGTTCATTAAGTAAAAAAATAAAAAATAAAAAAATAAAAAAAATAAGTAGCAATTGGCAGTTATCCTCTCCAAGAAAGCTGTCTCCAGCATCAAAAAGAGCTATGCAGGAGGAGGCTAGGCCAAGTAAACCAGCTAGGTGAGAGACCACAGTGGAACAATGAAGGATGTCTCTGACCCTACAAAGCACCCCCAAAGCTTTAAATAGCTGTCTGGCCCAGAGAGCCCAGCACTAGAAGTCAAGTAAGTATTTTCCTTCTTCCTCTCTGCTTTTTATGAAAATTTTAAAATTTAATCTGCAGTTTATTTGAAAGGCAGAGGGACAGAGACAGAAAGATCTTCCATCCGCTCGTTCACTCCCAAAATGCCTGAAACAGCTAGGACTGGGCCAGGTCAGAGCCAGGAGCTTAGAACTCAGCCTGGGTCTCCCATGTGGGTGGCAGGGACCCAGTGGCTTGAATCATCACCTTTTGGAATCAGATGTTGAACTGAGATTGAAACTGAGGTACAGTAATAGGGGATATGGTATCCCCAGCAGTGTCCCAAGCCCTGGGTATAACGCTTGCCCTGCCTTGCCTCTCTCCCTCCCTCTGCTTCAATCCTCAGTCAGTAATTGTAGTTGGCACAGTGGGGTAGCAAGAGTGAAGCATTGAAGCAGGACAACAGAAACCGCCCTCTAACTTGGGAACGGGTAGTGGCTCTACCTCTGGATATTGTTATGTTTTCATTCTTATTCTGGACTAAAACTATTAATTTTTCAGTGAAGAATCATTTATCTTCTGAAAGTTACCAAGAAAGTCATGAGATTGCCCTGAATTTCATCTGGAGGAAAATGAAGAATCAGTATCTAGAATAAAATTAATTGATAATTTATATTGTTTTGGGATTATTTCCTGTAAGTTCTGCTTATTAATGTAATAATTATACATTCACAACTCAATTATTCCATTTTTATTGATTGAGATTTATGACAGTAAGATGTTATAAATGTTATACTAGATAGGTTTATGCATATTTCTGTCAGTACATTGTAGGTCATTAGCAAACAGGAACATTCTTATATACAAACATTTGACAGACTGCTTCTTAGAAGGGTTAAAATGCTTTTCATTACCATTGCATTTGCATGAAAATTTCAGACTCTAAGAAATGCACAAAAATGATTTTAAAACTTTTTTATAATTATAAAAGTTTTATGTCAAAAAAAATCTTTTCAAAATTGTGCCTGAGCAGATACACAAGAAAATTAATTTTTAAGTATATTAGGTTTTTAAAATATTTTTTAATTTTTATTTGAAAGTCAGTGATACACAGAGAGAGAAGGAGAGGCAGAGAGAGAGAGAGAAAGGTCTCCCAGCCACTGGTTCACTCCCCAGTTGGCCACAACAGCCAGAGCTGCGCCAATCTGAAGCCAGGAGCCAGGAGCTTCTTCCAGGTCTCCCACGTGGGTGCAGGGGCCTGAGGACCTGGGCCATCTTCTACTGCTTTCCCAGGCCATAGCAGAGAGCTGGATTAGAAGTGGAGCAGCTGGGACTTGAACCGGTGCCCAAATGGGATGTGGGCACTGCAGGCAGCGGCTTTACCTGCTATGCCACGGCACCAGCCCCAGTATATTAGTTTTATGGACTTCAAGTCCTGTAGAATTTTCTCTATGAATTATTAAATACTGCTTTGGGAGTATAAGGATGCATAGAAATTTCTCAAACTTTTATTTTGAAATCCATTAATTTTGGAGATGAAATCATTTAAAAATTTATTAATGATCCTAAATTAATTTGACTCCTATTAAGTATTTAGAAAGCCACTAAACCTCTTTTGACTTAAATGAGACTTTAAAAAAAGTAAGCCATGAAATAATAGAAATATACTGAAATCTTTAAAATGCCTAAATGGGGGGCCAGCGCTGTGCCATAGCAGGTAAAGCCACTGCCTGCAGTGCCTGCATCCTATATGGGCACAGGTCCATGTCTTGGCTGCTCCACTTCTAATCCAGCTTTCTGCTATGGCCTGGGAAAGCAGTAGAAGATGGCCCAAGTCCTCGGGCCCCTGCACCCGCCGGGGAGACCCAGAAGAAGCTCTTGGCTCCTGGCTTCGGATCAGCGCAGCTCCTGCCATTGTGGCCAACTGGGGAGTGAACCATCAGATGGAAGACCTCTCTCTCTCCCTATCTCTCTTTTACTCTGTGTGTAACTCTGACATTCAAGGAAAATAAATAAATCTTAAAATAAAATAAAATGTGGTACAGTGGGTTAAGGCACTGCTTGGGACACCAGCATATGAGAGAGCCCATTCATGCCCTGGCTGCTCTGCTTCTGATCAGCTTCCTGCTGGGAAGGCACGGGATGATTCAGGTACTTGGGCCCCTGTGAGACCCTGATGGAGTTTCTGCCTTCTGGCTTTGGGTTGGCCAAGCCCTGGCTGTTGCCGCCATTTGGGGATTGAACCAGTGGATGGAAGATCTCTCTCCCCCACCCACACCCCCCTCTTTCTCTCTCTCACTCTCTCTCTGATACTTTGCCTTTCAAATAAATAAATCAATGAAAACCTAAAAAATATGTTTCATTAGGATGAAGAATATAAATAACTTCAAGTATTGTATTATGTTTAACAAACCATGCCATGATTTATAGGATTAATTGAAAAGTGTTCATTTTGCAGCAGTCTGACAAAGTAACATCTAATAAAAGGACACTGTTATACATTTTAATGTTAATCATTTATGACCTTTGTATTCATAATAGTGCCTGGATTTGGTTAAGTTGGAGAAATATGTGGGTGAATTACAATAGCTGAGGAATTAAAATACTTTGGCTATAAAAAGAACAACACTATTGCTTAAAATAAGTAATTTATGTTTTTAACACCAGTTTTCCTCTTAATGCAGCCTAAGTACTCTGAATGATAGTCTCATAAGGAAATACTAATATGTAGGTAGTTCCTGAACACCAACACCTGTAATTAGACCATTTTAAGTTTTTTCCTTTTCAAATGCTAAATGTAGACAGAGGTTAGTATTATATTTTCTAGACTGGATGAGTCAGGTTGCTGAGATAATAAGCTGGAGTACTTAGGCTGACATCCCTGTATTTCCTAGTGTTTCTGGAAACTAATGCTGGTGCTGAGCAGTTTGCTCTCTGCTGTATTCCTGATACATTCCAGCTGCCTAAAACGACCTTTCAGAATCGTGGTAGTCTCTAATTCTGTTTTCAAATGGCAAATTCAGTTTGAATGGACAACCCAGAGTAGAAAGAACATCACCAGCAGGTGTGATTTCCTTCTTTTGGAAAGGGGCGGCTCATCTAAAGCGTTACACAACTGACTGCTCACATTCTGCGTCTTAGGACCACTAAGAGCCCCGTCACTCTGATCTCAGTGGTGAGTCTCGGCAGGTGTGACAAGAATTTCCTACCTGGACCAAGCTATATCCTGTACGCTGGATCAGTGCGCGGAGGGCTGCTTCCTTCTGGGTGCCGCTCAATCCATCCCCGGATTTGTGATTTGATTCCATTGAGAGTGATTATCAGCAAAAAATCAGGTTTAATTAGGGTTGCTCACTGAAACCAAATTTAAGATAAATTAAGTAAATTAATATTAACAAATCCAAACTTGTCCTTTTTGTGAAGGTCATCTTTAGAAAACAATCTCTATAAATGAATTATGAAGAGTAGAGCTACAGCCATACACAAACAAGGCTGGTTAAATGTACTCATTAAAAAAATTAAAAAAATTTTTTCAACTTTAGTTGAAATTTAGAAGTAAAAAACAAATAATAGCCATTCCCTAATTAGAATGCAGATCTGTAAGTCTCAACACAGTTATTTCAGGATGACAACAAATGCCCCCAAACAACCATGACAATTAAAGGAATAAAAAGGATGGTCATTACAGACGTGAAAAAACACCATCACTAAGTCTAACAGCTAAGAGAATGCATCCAGTGTCTCTGAGATTAACCTTCATTTACCTATTTTATGTGTTGCCTAACACTTCTTTCTACTTATTCTCCCAAGATAAATTTCTAGTACAGGGTGTGCTGATGTCAGATATGCAGAAGTCATCATGCAAACTACTATATGTTAACAAATCTATGCAGATTTGGGGGAAAATGGACTCTTTTAAATGGGAATACTGGAAGGGTCTGCTGTCACAAAGATAATATGCTACATCCATCCACCAATCAGCAGAGTGCATGAAATTCTTCGTAAACCCCAAGAAATGATGAAAGTTAACAAAGGTTCATGTTTGTGTTGGATGGGGTGTGTCCAGCCTGCAGGCTGTACAAGGTCCACAAGATCATTTGGTCTGGCCCCACCAAGGCAACTACAGGTGGGACTGGGAATTCAGTAAATCTGTAACAGGCTAGTTTTTAAGTTGATAATTTTGTATGACCCACAAATGATATTATAAATATCCAGATGACCCTCGGTAAAAAAAAGGTCCCCACCCTGGTAGATGTGGATACATAATTGAAATAGTTTATTGTCTATAATTTCTGATGTGGTAACATGAGCTAAATGTGATGGTTACTTAAATCCACAGGTTCCCACCCAAGGGTTATGGCCATCTGGAAGGTTACAACCTGTAGTGGTGGAGGCCCCAAAGGATCTCAAGGGCTGCATGCTGAGTGGCTGGTTTGCAGGTGAGTGACTCAGTGAAGGTTCTCTGCTGGTTTCCTCTTTGATTGCTCTGCTCTGCCAACCAGGATCAAGGAAATGTTCAAATCAAATCCAACTCTACTGCGTTTGACTAAAGATCCTTTTGAAAATTTTGGGTCATATGAGTTGAGATTTTCTACTCAGTTTGTCATTGTCATATAAAGATTCAGAATGAGTAGGCCAGTAATTTGGGAAACCAAGGAAAAGTGAAGCTGATATGATCATTTCAGAAAAATGCAACATGAAAGTTTTTCTGTTACTAAAATTACTGCAATTTAGTAATAGTAGTAATAGCAATAATACTAGTACAATTAAAAGTAGTATTCATATTACTGTTATCAATAATGACAGCAACAGGTATTCTACTTCTAAAGTAATAGAACTTAAAAAAATTCCTAAGCTAATTTACAAGCCTCAGTTAGATAATAATGTTTTCGATATAATTTATAAAATAAAAGTAAAAATAAGAAATTCCAGAGAGAATACTCAATTGCTGTTCTAGGGATTGAAGCATGTCATCCTGTATTTATATATATAAAATCATGACCATTCTTGCCTTTGACCTTTCTGATAATGCTTGCTTGCTCCTGACCCAGGTCAAGTCAATTTACATTCATTTGTAGTTTCAAGAACAAATTTGATTAGTGTTATCTGCATGCCGACTCCACTCCCTCCCTGCTCAGCTTTTGGGCATTGTTTTACAAGCAACCTACAAATTTACTGTTACCAATTTTATTGTCTATAGTTAGCAAAATCCGGTGGATTTTTAAAAAAGCCAGACTTGATATCTTGACTAAGACACCTTAGAAAGTTTCTCTGTGATAGTGATGTTTTGATATATATAAAGCAATCCAGGTAGGGATTCACTGACACATTGAAAGTATAAATACTTTTCCTATGAGACATAGGGGCAAAGTGAAGCCTGTATTGAGTCTGCAGTCCTATGATGAACATAGTCATAGAAATCTCTATGAAACAGTGTACATCCTCTAAAATAGATAAATATATACAAAAGATTTATGAAGAAAATTGGCCTGTAAGACAACTTCTAATTTTTGCATTTGTTCCAATCGTTACTACAATTGTCTTTGGGTCAGAACATTCTCAAACTTTCACACTGTGCTGAATTAAACCCACAAGAGCTGGGAGGCTGTGGATGGCATCTGATGGGGTTATTGATGTATGTCTTCCAGCTCTTGGAAGGCAAAGTCTGTAGTCTTTTGACCAACCCGTAGATTTGCTCTATGCAGAACTTCATCTTTTCCATGAAAAAGTTAACAATTTATGGTGAAATGCATTTCTGTTTGTAAAAGGTACCTTTAGTTTTGGTTAATAATTAATAAAGGAGATGAAAGGTATTTTGACATCAGGATGGTCTTTGGATCAAGTATGAATTCACTCTGAATTTACTGAGAAAATCTGAATAACATCCCAACATAATTGCAAGTCAAGGTAAATCACGCATAGAAATAAAATTCAGAATTTTATACAAGAAAGTTGATCTTCAATTTCTTAATTCTCAAAAACAACTCCTCCTACCAATGTTGACCCAATTTAAGGGGTGAACTTGAATCCTAGATAAATATTTTTTCAAGCAAGTCAAACTTTTCTTTAAAAACTTCGTCAATTTAAAATAAAGGTTTTGCAATATATTTCCTAATTTAGTTCCTGTCAAATCTCCAGAACTGCGACTACTGCATTTTGAAAGAGAAGAGTTCCCAGTGGCATTTACTGAGCTGACAGAATTCATACCCAATGAAAAATAGGCATTAAGACCCTTGAAGCTAGAGGAAAGCACTCATGAGTATTTATCAAGCATTAATTAAAAATTACTTCAATATTTACTATCTTTTGAGAATTTTTGAGATGAGGGAATGAAGCAGAAAGTAAAAAAGGCCCTTTCTCCACAAAAATTGCATGGCTTTGTAGTGGCTGTCAGAGGCAATAAACAAGATCCATAAGTAAAATATAGTGTGCTTCTGATGCTTCCTGAGGAGAAGATAAATAATGGAAGAGGACCATGAGATGTGTTTGTGGTTGGTAAACAGTTCATATGATACTGAGAAAGTAAGTGTGGGAAGGGACCAGGATGAAGTGAGGGAAGTGGTTGGAGTAGGACATTGCAGTTAGGGCACTAGGCAAGAGTAAGAACTGAGGTGGCAACTTGTGTGGGAATGAATGAGAACTGAGAGTAGAGGTTAGGGAGAGAATGGCTGCTTGGATCACGGAGCATCTTGTCATCACAGTAAGGATCATGGCTTGGGAAGCCAGAGTCTTACAGTATTGTACTCAGGTTTTTAACAGAATCGTTCTGATTGTTGAGAAAACATGGGAGGGAGGGGGATGTAGGGCAGAGACCAGGATGAGGCAAAAGAGGTAAATAATGCAAACACAGGGCTGATCTTGTTTTCATGTAAAACCTTGCTGTTCATTCTGCAGTTATTGCATTGGCTTTGATTGTTTCAATGAAAATATCCTTTGTCTTGATCATTGAATTTTTTGTACCCCTTCAAGTTTGCCTTTCTTGTCTCATTGAATTCACTTGAGTGTGTAGAGTTGGGAAAGTCAAGCAGGGAGACAGAAGTCACTGCTACACCCAGGTAAAAGATGGCAGTGGCTTGTACTAGTGTTGACAGTGGTGATAGTAAAAAGTGGCAAATCTTGGCGATATTACAGGATGATTGGGTGTGTTGTGTGGGAAGAAAATAGGCATCCAGGGAGACACCAAGTTTTTAACCTAGGTAACCAGAAGAATGGGGTTGAGGAGTAGCAGTTTTGTGGCAGAAGCACTTCAGCTGTTTTGGTCATGTTGCTTTTGAGTTGCCTTTTAAACATCCACCTGGCAAAGTTGAGTTGTCAGGTAGCTACAATGTAGGAATGTGAATTTCATGGGATAGTTTCAGGCAGCGCTATTGACTGGACACTATCCGTGGAGAGATGATATTTCAGCTGTGACGCTGGATGAGATCATTTAAAGACTAAGTAAAATAGGTCCAGGACTGGTCTTTGGGGGCCCTGTAGCTTCTGGAAACCAGGGAGGGAAGGAGGAATTGCAAAGGAGATTGAGAAAACAGCAAAAAGATAGGAGGAGAAATAGGAAAGTGAGGTAGTTTGGAATCAAATCAAGACAGGATTTTGAGAACAAGCAAGCGATCAGTTACAGCAAATCCTACTAAGTCAGATGGAATAGAGCCTGTCTAGGAAAGCGGATCCTGGGACTGGGCTCTGTGGCCTCAGATCTCTTACTGTGTGCTCTGGGCAAGTTCCTTAGCCTATCTGTCTCAGTATCTTCAACTGAGGCAACAACATTATTTCTCTCCAGATCACTGTGAATTTTACATGACCAGAGTATTGAAAGGACTTTGAAAGACGTCCTGTAATATAATGAATGGCAAATTAACATTAAGCATATGTATATAAAACAGGAAAAAGAGGGAGGCAATATAATCACTAAGCAACTCAACTCTATCTGGAAATTCTGCTCTAAGATTCATGGAATGGCACTTTGTCTAGATGAGAATGAGTCAAGAAAGGGGCTGAGGAATGGAAGCTGGGTGAAGGGAGTCTACGGTTAGTATTGTAGGGAGGAAATGTTCATAAGCCCTTTCTAAGCATCTGTTTCCCCATCTGTGAACTGGGGTAACAAGTGTGTTGTGGATGATGATGTTGTGAAGATGACCCGAGAAAACCCCTGGGAAGTGTTTCTTTTAGATGTAGCATGTTGCAAGTGCTCCAACAACTAAATGTTCTTGCTGATGAGTCGTGTTGGAGGGGCAGAGTGGAGGAACAGCACCATGACCCCAGAAAGGCGTCAGAGATGTCAGCACTTCCTCGTCTAGGTGCTTCTCTTTTCTCTTTTTTTTCCTTTTTATTTATTTATTTATTTATTGGCAGGCAGA